TTTTTCCTTTTGAGACAGAGTCTCGCTCTGGCCCCCAGCCTGGAGGGCAGTGGCTCGATCTTGGCTCACTACAACCTCTGCCTCCTAGGCTCAAGCGATTCTCCTGCTTCAGCCTCCTGAGTGGCTGGGATTACAGGCCCCTGCCACCATGCCCAGCTAATTTTTGTATTTTTAGTAGAGACAGGATTTCACCATGTTGGTCAGGCTGGTCTCGAACTTCTAATCTCAGGTGATCTGCCCACCTTAGCCTTCCAAAGTGCTGGGATTACAGGCATGAGCCACGGTGCCTGGCCTTGAGGCATAACTTAGTAGTATATAGTACTTAACAAAAGACAGTTTTATAGTACCATATAACAGTCTGCGTTTTTGTTTTGTTTCTGCATACAGACAACACTAAGCAGTTGAGATTTGAAGATGTAGTAAACCAGTCAAGTCCAAAAAATTGTACTGTGTACTGTGGAGGAATTGCGTCTGGGTTAACAGGTACAATGTTTGGTTTTCTAATCATCTCTGAGGAGCTTCATCACTATTTGCATGAATTTCATGATGTACATCAGCCATGTTTTATTTATATGTTTTTGTTTATAGATCAGCTTATGAGACAAACATTCTCACCATTCGGACAAATTATGGAAATAAGAGTTTTCCCAGAAAAGGGCTATTCATTTGTCAGGTAACACTGTACTTGAAATGTCATTATTACTCTTATATTTGATTCATTCCTTTCAGTTATGTTCCCCAGGGTATCAGTGTTTATTATTTTAGTGCTTCTTTGCAATAAAGAAGTTTAAGCTACCTACCTAATGTACTTTAGAAAAAATACGAACTTGCAGGTATAAACTAATGAGCTTCCATGTTATTTACTGTGTTAGATTCTTAAAAAATAGACAAAACCATATTATTTTTCTTTCTTAGATTTTCAACCCATGAAAGTGCAGCCCATGCCATTGTTTCGGTGAACGGTACTACGATTGAAGGACATGTGGTTAAATGCTATTGGGGTAAAGAATCTCCTGATATGACTAAAAACTTCCAACAGGTAATTCGATTTTTCATAGCACTCTTTAAGGTTTCCATCTTACATATCACATAAAAGCTTTGGAAACTCTGTAAAATAAACAGTAAAACAAAGCATATAGCTACTTTCAGTTGATTGTATTTCAAAATTGATTATTTTGCGGTATTAACTGAATCTTAATACTTTCTTTTCACAGGTGTCACCACCCCAATAAACTTAGACAATGATAAATAACAGAGTCCTATTCACATAAGGGTGCTTACTTAGTTTTTCTCTTCCTTGTCTCCCACTCTTTCTTCATATACGGTGTTTCTTACGTGTTCCCTGAAACAATAATTTGCTTTTTTCTAGGTTGACTATAGTCAGTGGGGCCAGTGGAGCCAAGTGTATGGAAACCCACAACAGTATGGACAGTATATGGCAAATGGGTGGCAAGTACCGCCTTATGGAGTGTACGGGCAACCATGGAATCAACAAGGATTTGGAGTAGAGTAAGTTGTTTGGGTTTTTCCAGTATAGAAACATATGATTCTAACAAAATAAATAAAAGTATGTTTTCCTAGGGAGGATCTATTTTACTTATATACATTGAGCTATTTGGCATGAGCATTATAGAAACAGATCTAACAAATTATTATTTATGAGACTAAGAAATTTTCTCATTACCTAAGTGGAAAGGGGTTTTTGGGATAACATTTGGTGTGTCCTATGACCCCTGTAAGCAGTTGGTAGAATTTGACTTACATTTCTAATACACTTTTGTTTTTGCATGTAGAAGATCTTTGTCTACATATATTCAGAAGTTTGATGGTTTTATGCCTACGTGGTATGCATGAGAAATCTGAGATTTGTGTGATACAAAGTAACTGGCTTTTTTTTTTTCCTTTGTTGATAGAGTGGGTTCCTCCTTTGTAATCCCCCCACCCAAGGCCAGCCCATATGTTTATTATTTCTTCCTTTGAGACTCTTTCCTTTCCCAACATGAACTTGTGTTTTTAACATTTCTTACGTGTTGTGTTGAATCGTTCACAATTTTTTTTTTTTTTTTTTTTTTTGGAAGGGTTTCGCTCATGTTACCCAGGCTGGAGTGCAATGGCTCGA